GGCCCCCGATCTCCATAATCCGGTAGACCTGGTTGCAAAACGTCTCATTGATATTGGCAGGATTAAGTCCGTCATTTTGAGTTTGCCAGACTGCTAGTCCTGGTGCTGGTGCCGGGATGCTGTTGTTCGGTGCGAGTCTTGCTATGGCACTTGGGTAGTCCATACTATTGGATAGAATTTCAGGAGAGCTGGATCCATCCGAGGCACTAAGAAGAGATGTTTCGACTTTTCGAAGCCATCTTTGTAGGTTTCGTAGATCGTCTGCCAGCCCTGAGACTTCCTGGTCACTGTAGTCGCAGGCCGAATTATTCCTAATAAAGAGTCAGTTGCGAGTCTTGGAAGGCAACATTACTGATCCACAGCTCAGATTGACTTGCTGTTGGAGGTTATGAATGAGAGGCGAATTATTAATCTCAATGTACCCGTAGCCGCACTGGCGGACGACCGTCGGCCGACAGGCAAAAGGGGAGGCAATCTCACATTACACATGAAGAACATCGCGGCAGCTGCTTGTCGCACTTCTTCTTGCGCCTTTTACAGAGCCCGCATGCTCGTGGGGCTATATCTGGGACGTATCCGCCTGCACCGGAGCCCATTTTGTGACGAAGAGGTCTAATAAGGCGAAACGATTCGTTTCTTGGGGGTGGTGCAACGATGCGGGAGACACTCTCAGCCTAAAACTTATTCTCCAGCCTTTGAAATAGCCCAGATCGGTGGAATTGTCACAAATAATTGTAAATAGAATTCATCAGAATAGAGAAAATCAGCACTTCTTTTAAGTTTGAGATGAGGATTCTCAGTTTGTAGATAGGAATAGACGATTTGACATTGTCGTCCAATTTTCAGGCAAGAGATGCCAGCTGAGTAAGCGGCTTAACTAGCCAATTAAACACGAGGCAGAACTAGCTTGGGAACGAATTCCTGCTGACAGTGACTATCGAATCGTTTAACCTTTTGGGCCAGCCTGTGCCAACTCTAAAAAAGAAGTATATTGTCAGACATGAAGAGAAGCCATATTCAAACTCAAAGAGCTCGATTTTCGCCGTCGCAGCACCAATGCCAATGATATCGCTGGTCACGTCGGCCATAGCAACAACAGTTGAGTATAACTACACGCCCACATTTCTTACTTGTCCATTGTCCCTTTCAGCTCCTCATTCAGCTTCTCTTGGCAAAGAAATGATGACATATCACGCAGATCTTACGCGTTAATCACACTAGAGCGAAGACTGAATTCGTGAAAGTATATTTCTATGTAAAAGCACCACAGAGATGGGTATTCTCCAAAAGTCAATTCAACATCTGGGGCCCCCTAATCTAAACTGTATTCCTGGATGATCTTTTCTGCCGCAAACTCTCCAATCAGATACGCCGTTGCTTGAGTGTGATTGCTACAGGAGCAAGGAAAAGTTACTATTAGCCAAGGGGTTCGGTTTTTCCAGAAAATCATGATTATACATACTTAGGTGTCGTGGGACAAACGCTAAGGTCAGCGACGCGAAGACTCTCGAGCCCATGGACCCGTAGTTCGGCATCAACACAGGCCATCTTATCCTCTTTCTTACCCATCTTGGCAGACCCATTTGCATGCCAGATGGGGAAGCCATTTGCTTTGATATAGTCCTGAAATTTACATAGTAAGCAAGTGAGAAGAGACCGCTATTGCATTGAGGGAATTTGAGAGTGAGATAACTTCATACCCAGATGTCCTCATCAGAGGTGCCTTTCGGACCAATAATCCTGGCTTTCCAGACCTTGGAAATTGTCTTACTCTTCATAATGCTCAGAACTCTACGTACTGCACATATCATAACTCTTCGATCGTACGGGTGCTGGTAGTAGGCCATATCAACCACTGGAGGCTCTGCGGGATTCGCAGATCTAAGATTCACAGAGCCACGGGACTGGGGGTTCATAATTATGGGATAGAAGCTTAAGAACGCATCGTCTAGATCATCAAATGCATATTCCATGGGAAATATTGCGGCATTCTGCATACGAGAGTTCGAGTTAGAGAGCGTTACCTCAGGAGGATTGCATGACGTACCATTACGATCTCATAGTGCGGGACATTTGGCAAGTTGAGGAACTTCTGAACCTCAGAAGGCAAAGATCTGAATTCATCACTGTTTGTTATTTCGGGGTCCTTGATAAAGGCAAGAGCACTATCATGGGTCGTCGTCGCAATTGGACCAGTCTGGTCTCGACGCCACTGTTCTTCTGCAGCTTTGACTTGATCTGGTGAACCCATGAAACAAACTCGGTGGGAGATTCCACGCTCGAGATGGTCTACAATTCCGAAACCATTATGATCTTGTAGGTTCTTGCCGACACCGTGGAGCTCATGTTTTGTTTCGATATTGACACTTGCTAAGTCATCTGCAGGACCAATTCCAGACAACAGAAGCAGTTTCGGGCTATCGAATGCGCCAGCGCATAGGATGACCTCCTTTGCAGACGATACTGTAAATCAGAGTTAGCTTCCTTACGCTAGCTTTGACTAAGCAACATACCTTTACGCCCATCAAGAGTCTCGACACCAACAGCCTTTTTCCCATCCAAGACAATCTTTGTGACTTGTGTGTTCGTCCAGACCGTCAAGTTATCTGTTGCAGAACGTAAATGTGCACTTGAGCTTGTGGTTCTTAGACCATCCTTGACAGAAAGAAAATCAAGTCCAACTCCTACTGGATTCCCAGAGTTGATGTTAGGATTAGATGGGATCTGCTCGGGGAGGTTAGCATACCACAAACTTATACCAATTCCACAAAGGAAGACAAATGAAATAAACATACGCCCAACTCTGCCGCAGCTTCCAAACACAACTTCAATTCCGGGTCAATTATGGATGGCAGACTAACTTCAACCAGTCTGCAGTTACAATTAGAAAGGGCTCTGATCGTAGCGTGAAGTAATTCCTTTACCCATCTGTTCCCAAGCTTCCAGGTTCCACATTGGCATATTGTTTAACTTCGGGCGACAAGCTGTTGGAGAATGATTCGATCTGTCAACATCGTTTATTTGATTAGTGCATGCTTGACGGGGTAGATCGAGAGCCAGTTCAGTTGCACACCTTTTTGAATCTCTCTTCAGTATGTTTCCAGTCCCAGTCTTCACTCCCAACTAGCTCTGCCCATTTATCATAATCGGCCGCAGAACCCCGTGTATAGCACATGAAGTTAATTAGAGATGATCCACCGAGACCTTTACCCCGAGCATAAGGTAGTGCAACTCCGCTAAGATTTGGATCAGGCTTTAACGAGTACCCATGATCAAGCTCTGGTCTTGTGAACGCATTGAGAAAACGTCCGTACGGGCTACGTATGTTGATATCCGAGCCATCGCCACCGACCTCAATGAGCAAGATCGAAGGTTTCTTGTTTGTTGATGCGAGACGTTTGGCGAGAAGACAACCAGCAGTACCACCTAAGAACGTTTAGAACCATTACTATATCTACACAATAAGCGAAAAACTATACATACCTCCAACGATTACGAAGTCGAATGTCCCTGCCATAGCTAACTCTCGAAAATATCTTTAGTATAGTACTTTATAGTGTATCTCACAAGTAACATGAATTGTGTAGTCTCAAGGAGAAGAAGCTTATGAATGGTGTTTCTTATATCCTTTCAAAATCGACAAGCTTGGTACAAGGTTGAGGAATCAGATATACGGAGTAAGCCATGCCCAGCCCAGCGGTGAGGTAGACTTGACACGCCACTCAGCTGAACAAACAGTACTCGATTTATACGAGGTATAACCATACTCTGCGTCTCATATTCCTGGTAAATATTGTTCAAAATCTCTGGTCTATGCCGCTTTGGGATCACAAGGTGACCTGCCATAACGTTATTACACGCCAAAAGATCCCTGTAGGATGACCGAGTCGTCATGGTACCGATATATAAGACATATCGTTAATTCACCACTAAAATTTGCCAAGAGGGCTTGGAGGGGCACAAATAACGTTACGACTAAGACGTCGATATATTTCATACCATTACAGTCCAGTTTTACTGTACGTCAGATCACTGGTGCACTAAGCCAGCATATGAACTTAGGCTACCTCATTTTTCTATTCAAGTAGCCATCTCCTCGCGAACTTCCCCCTTTCAAAAATTGATATCTTAAAGGCATCAGGAGTCAACAGTTCCTAATCTCTATAGTCAGAAAAGAAAACTTATACTTACCGGTTTATACGACTATATGAATTCCATTCGAATATCAACCAGTAATTAACCAGGGCTAAGTTTCCGCGATTCGTCCGAGGACTTGAGAATTACTCCGTAGGTATCAAAGCTTGTGGACACGGAGTTTTCCATATTACCTCCACATGCAAGGGATCCATCTTTGCTGCCACCAACAGAGGATGAGTGAGATATACTGTGGTACAGGCCATAAGTAAGGTAAAAACGGGGGGCCTTACAAGCGCTGTTCCCAGGATTCGACCCATCCTTTGCCTGATTGGAAACAGAAAATCTGTGCTCTTTTACGCTTATGGTAGCATTTGCATAGAATCGTCAGAGGTCATACCAAGCTGAGACCAAGTTGCGCGAAACAGTTTAAAAGGAGCACTAGTCAAGGCCCCTTGTCACAAAGTAGGTTTTTTTACCTTACTTATGATATACCACAGTACCTCGTACTATCCTATCAGGATAACAAGGGTCTAGTTCTCGACCGAAGGAGGGATAGTACAAGAGATCTGACTGCTTACTGTGTAATTATGTGTGCATTTTGTGATCGGCCATCGGGCGGCCGCCGTCCCCCTACATGTAATTAGGAGGACTAGAAATGAGGGCGGATTCCACGTAAGCCGCGGTTAGCTTCCATAAAGGCACTGTAATCGCTAACGGTAATTACATAACCAAGAACAATAAGAGATCTTGGCTGATTTTATAACTGGCTAACATACGAAAGAGCGAAGTATAAAAATAAAGAACCAAAAATAGGAAGAAAAAAAAATTTGTAAGCCAGATTGGCTCTTCGCTGATGGGAATTGAGCCCAACGCGGGGGTCGAACCCGCAACCTTGAGATGATCTCTTCGATTAAGAGTCTCACGCTCTACCGATTGAGCTAGCCGGGCGGGGCTTGCTGGAAGTTGAAGCCAGCAACCCACTATTAGATCTTATTAACTAGTACCTCACAACGCATGGGGTTTCAGTTCCTCTCTAAACACAAACATCAGAAAATGCAACAACGCCGATTCATTGACATTTAATTTACTATCTGTACATTCTATCATAAGACTGGTTTTGATCGATGTGCTTGCAGAGTACAATGGCGACCCAACGCCCTAAATCCTTTGTCCTCAAATCTGGCATTTGGGACAGAATGTATGAAGTGGAAATCAAGACTCTAAGTTCATTCCAAGTGAATCAGGCTATTTACTATAATGAGCGCATTTTACAGTTTAGACTTCCTTTTGGATCAAAATAGCTCTACCATCCACACTGAGGCCGATTCAGATGATAACTTGAAGTTATTGTTCCTTCACTTGTTCCTTCCTCCCCGCTCTAACCGCACATCCCGCATCTAAGCACATACCCGTAAACCACGGTCTTCTACAGAGGCCAACTCTAATCACTTCAGTGACGCGAAACCACCATCTACTTGAAGAGAACAGTGCCATGCCTCCAATCCGCGCAGCTGCCTGTCATGTCTCTGCTGTATTCCTGTCAGCAAGAGCAACCACAGAGAAAGCAATCTCCCTTATCCATCAGGCGGCGAAGAATCAAGCAAATCTCGTAGTATTTCCGGAGAGCTACATTCCCGCGTTTCCAGTCTGGAGCGCACTCCGCCCGCCGACAGAAAATCATGGTTTCTTTAAACAGATGGTCAAACAGTCCGTCTATGTGGACGGAGAAGAGATAAGCGCCATCAAGTCCGCAGCCAAGGCAACTAATACCATAGTTAGCATAGGAATATCCGAAAAGGCTCGTCATAGTAGTGCCACGCTTTACAATTCGAATCTAATCATTGGTACCAATGGAGAGCTGCTTGTTCATCACCGGAAATTAATGCCCACTTTCTTTGAGAAGCTAACATGGGCGCAAGGTGATGGTTTTGGCTTAAAGGTTGCAGACACACCATTTGGCAAGATTGGAAACCTGATCTGCGGGGAGAATACAAATCCCCTGGCGCGGTACTCCCTCATGACCCAGGGAGAGCAACTTCATATCTCGACGTGGCCTGCGGTATGGCCAACGAGAGCTTCTAATGCTACAGGAGGGACAAACACGCCAAACATAGGATCATCATCAGTTGCACAAGGAGCCAACTATGACAATGTCGCCGCCAATAGAACACGTGCGGCAGCGCATTGCTTCGAGGCAAAATGCTTCGGCATTCTCTCTTCAGCAATTCTAAACAATGACGCAATTGAACTCATAAGCTCTAACTCTATCATCTCGGATTCTGTCAGAGATACCTTGGAAAAATCATCCAGAAGTCCGACTATGTTCCTCGATCCAACTGGTGCATTGCTTCCCGGGTTTACAATTTCTCAAACTTCAGGAGAGGAAGAAGCTAAAGATTTCCTTCAACACGAAGAGGGCATTCTGTATGCTGACATGAATCTTGATGATTGTATTGAAGGGAAACAATACCACGACGTCGTGGGTGGCTACCAGCGCTTTGACGTTTTTCAACTCAAGGTGGACAGAAGACGTAGGGAGCCGGCTGTTCTAGTAGATGAGGCAACAATACCCGACCTCAAATTGGAAGAGGGAGAAAAATAATTAATACCTGACTTAGATAAAAGGTAGTAGCTGTGGGTACAGCTGCTCTTATACCTATTATTCAAGTTAATTAATCAATCGACTATGCTCAAGAGCAGAAGAATTGTAGTTCCTTGATTATGCCCTCGGCTCTAGTATACTATCAATCTTGAATGTCTTGCAAATAAAGAACATGAGTTCCAACTTAGGGTGATTTAAACGGCCATGAAAGTCTCAAGATGGGATCCAAAAGACATTTCCACCAATTTTGGAATAAAATTCCGCCAAGACGTTTAGTTGCACGGATAGATAGTAGGTGTCTTTACGTACTGAGTTCGGAAGCTAAGGTTGAGATCCTCCGATGCCTATACGTATATCCGAGTTTCCTCGAATTCAGAAGTGAACCCTCCCGGATATAGTTAAACAACCCCCTCAGGTTGTTTATCCAGAGATTTTGCCTGAAAATCAGGACTACTAGTCCTTTCATGTAGCTTTTTCCCGTAATTGACCGAGCGTTGGTTTCAAAATAATGTGCTCGAATCCGAGCACGCACGGCTATCCCAGCCTTCCTCTCTCTATAAGAAGTACAAAAAGGATGTAACTTATTATTTTACAATCACTATCCTGACTTCTCTCTTCCATTGTAGCTATTATATCCGAAATTTAACAACATTGCGATCGGACAACCTCCTTATCCTCAAAAATGACGTCAAGCAAGGGCATCAACTTCGGTTTCCTCAGCATGCAGTACCAGGCGCTCGACGCAATAGGACCAATGGATATCATCTTTAATACATCTAAAGATATTCTTGTCAAGTACGCGCAGATTGGATTGTTATCCAAAGAGGCAGCAGAAAAGGCATGGCATGTAAATTTTCATCACATCGGAGAAACACTGGATCCTGTCACCCTAACCGGAAATTTATCAATCGTTCCAACAACTACCTGTGACACTTGTCCAGAGCTAGACTATCTCCTCATTGGTGGCCCTGACCCAACTTCTAGGTTAAGCCCTACTTTTGCAAAATTCGTCAAGAATCATGTTGCTGCCGGAAAGGTGCTCTTTACGACCTGCACAGGAGCGATGGCGTTAGCAAGCACAGGTATTCTGGATGGAAAGAATGCTACGGTTAATCACTCTTTGCTCGATCTCGCAGTACAATTATATCCCAAAGTAAATTGGAACAAAGAGAAGCAGTGGGTCATTGATGGTAACATCTGGACTGCCGGAGGTGCTTGTGCGGGAATGGATATGATTGCATACTGGGTTGAACAGACTGTGCCCAAGGAGATTGCTAATGTATCCCATGAACTGCTGGATTTCGAGTCTAGGGATGTAGATGGTAAAAGGGCTCTGAAGGCAGAGAGTTGAGTTAATGATGGGATTCACACCAAATTAACAGCATTTTCGATCACAGAACTTTTGAATTTCCTATGAGCCCGAATGGCTCATATCGTCATGATGGAAGTTTGACGCATTCCTTTTACTTGTTAAAGTCACTCCACTCCATATAAGGAATTTGATTAGAATGATCAAATTCAAGAGAAATATCTGCTGAGGCCGGAACTCCATTTGGATATCTACATTACCATAGCTACATCGAAATATCTCCAGCCTGTAACTAGCTCAAATCCATAAATAATTCTCACATAAACATCAAGACCTCATATCCTTCCCTATCACATGATTTCACATTTTGGTTCGACTTTTCTATTTTAATGTACCACATTTATCATTCCCTTCACCCATTAATGCCATTTACAACAACATCTGCGTCCATAAGGGACAGAGCCCTGAAGAAGGAATACATGCAAGCACATCAAAATGACAGAGCCACCGAATACTTACAATGGTTTGATACTAACAATTGGGTTAGGTAACTTCGTTCTTTCCAGAGAATTGGGCGATTGACTTACTTGAACCGCTAAACCAGGCAAACACTCGCAAGGTTCCACAGCAAGCTATTAAATTTTAGCAGCAGCTCCCAGGAGCTTTTGCCGAGCTTCTAGGACATTTTCTGGTGCTCCTGGAGGTATCGTGAATTGTGGAACAGCAGGTCACAACGTAGGCTGGGATTTATGTGATAGGGCGCAGTGTCCAGATATGATCTTGGCTGCTGAGCAAATTTCCGAGACATAAGGCTCAAGAGCGCTTGTCCCACATATTATGACGTCTTTGATATGTGTATAGAAATTCAATTAATTGAACAGGACGATTGTAAACAATAAACAATCAGATGAATGAGGTTATTCTACATAACCAAGAGACGGGAACGGAGATAACAAATAGCTCGACTCGAGATTAAGGGTGGTAACAGGGTAGAAAGGGGTCATATGAAAAGCTCTCTAATAGCCAAGACATAAGGTTCCGCAGACAACGGTAGCTAGTAATAGGAGATTTACTTAGATAGCTGAAAGACGTCATATAGAGTCTAGAACTAAGATAATTAATAGAACATGATATTCCCAGTTCCATGGAATATTACAAGATGATTTGGTTGCCATTGTATGGTTGAGATTAGTTGGTCATAAATTGAGGCTAAGCTCAAGGACCCCAAAGTATATTACACCAGCTCCATGCCTTCTTGGTTTAACTAAAAAGAAAATATAGAAAATGGAGTATAAACGGCTCAGCTATTCTAAGTACATCTAGATCTTCTATAATTACTGCGTTTGAGATCGATTTAAAACATATATCGCAGGTCTCTTGACTGCAATCCACACTTTGTAAGTCGGCACTATAATGGGACCACTAGGGGTCTTCACAATGCCATCTTCGACTGCATTCATACTCAACAAGACTTGCTTGCCAGATTCTAGGCGCTTGATAAGCATGCTTTGAGACAGGTCCGTCCATGGCTCATGGAGATCATAAGGATTATTGTAACGCGCCATGATATCCGTGGCGGTGCTTGCGTGGCTAACGCGGTCTACTACGACTCCAATTGCAGGACCTCCTGCTGTTTCCAAGTATATCGCAAATCTCTCATCAGTCACTTTGTCGCGGTATATAACAGCGCAGTTGATATGCTGTGGAAAATGCTGTTTTCCACGCGGTGACTGAGTCTGTTTGACTGAGCTTATCCAATCTCCATATAAAGGGCAGTAGTCAACGACCTCAAAGCCTGTGGACGGAAGCGTCTCGTCTGCAACATACAGACGAATATCATGTCTATCCCATCCTGGTTTGCACCTGACACGCCTGTCTGAGCGCGCGATATCCGGAAGAGGTTGAGCAATGTAGACGTCATGCAGAGTCACTTTATAACCCAAATGGCTATCGACCAATCTCTCGAGGATCTGACAATCTCTATTAATATGCGTACCATCTTTCCACCCACGACTGTATCGGCCGGTCGTCAGATCT